ATTTCTGTTGAAGTATTTCAGTGTGTAAATTAAAAATATATGCTGTAAAGCATGCACTGTTCTTGTCATCCCAGTTTGTGAGCTGTACATATGGGAGTATGTAAAGAGTAGTGTGCGTGCTATTATGTGGATGGATAATAAAACAGCTGCCTCATAGATTCCATCTGCTTTCTGTACTGAATCTTTGTAGGTACCATGCATTTTTCAGTGTTGTTATTTTCTCCCCTGTTTTTTTATTGAGTGTTCAGTTGAGGTCCAGCATATTCTCCCAAAGTCAGCACTTCAGATCTTTTGCAGCATGAGGTGTTTGAGCATGGGTACATTCAGGACAGTGCATCTCTCCTGTGTCTGAATGTCTGAAACATGCTAGCAATTTTTAAATCAGACCTGAGTTTCTGAAGGGAATAAGATATTCATGTAGAAAAGCTTTGCTTTGGAAATTATTAGCAACACCCCTTGCTACTAATTGAGAATGAAAACGCTTGTTTCTATATGTACTGACAAACCGCTTTTCATCTAGTTGTGTTTCCTTATGCATTTCTTCTAGTTGTACTTGTTGCTGCACATGAAATAGCACCTCTGATTTACTCATAAAGACTCTGTTTTGAATGCCACTTTAAAAATATCTCAACAGACATCCACAATTAGTTTGAGATAATATTCTGCTCACAAGCTGTTACCTTGCAGGCTAAAAGTTATCTTTTCGTAATGTCTTCTTTAGTATAAAACCCCTAACTAGCTGTGTTGTTAAAGTTGCTTGCATATATAATAGCTGCTTTGAGATGTGAGATCTATAATTTTTAAATTAAAGTATTTTTTCATTGTAAACATGAAAGTAAGAGTTTTCTTCCCCCAACCTCTCATTGCTTAAAATCACTTGTCTGATAATTAGTAAAACAGTGCCAGATCTGCAGTGATAAAATTGGCTTTCTGCAGATTTTCTGTCTTGTACCTTCAAAAGTATTTAGAACATGACAATTAAGAAAATACCTAGATTAAAAGGTATGTTGGTAAACAGCTATTGGTGAGAAAGTGGTAATTTAGACATTTCTCCTCTTCATAGAAAAAACTATAGTATATACATTTAGAAACACACCTAGAATAGCAATTTAGCAGCTTTTAGCAATGTAGCCATGTGGTGTTTTGTACCCATTCATCCTTACAGCACAGGTAATTAAGTTGATATTCCAACACAACTTCCCCTACTGACCTTTTAGAAACAATGTGTTTTCCTGCATTAACAAATTAACTTCAAATCAGTGGCTTTTCCAGTAAATATGGTCTTCATATAGTTCGAATATACTTGCTTATCCCACTCTTGTGACACATTAACATCAACATTAAAAATGAAGCTCTGGTAAAGGGCAGATAACTGTTATCTCCTGGTGCACCTCCACGTCAGTTACTCCTCACTGCCCTTTGCCTATTCCTTTCAATGCTTCAGAACACTGTTTTAAGCCATGCTATTTCCCTATCTGTATTTAATAGAGAGAACACGCTGCTGTGAATGTATAGTTTTGTCTTACCATTCTATTCATATCTCTTTAGGGTTCAGAAATGTAGTATGTGGTGCAACTCTAACTTTATTTCTCATAGCACTTTGGTGAATAAGATAAATATAAATCTGAGTGTTGAATGTGACTGTGTTGTTACAAGTACTGAGGACACAGCTCTGAGAGTTAACAGAATGACTGTTTAGAAGTTCAAGAGATGTAGAAGTTCCTACACTTTTAATCTCTTCCTAAATCTGCATTTTAGATGTGTCTTTATTGTGGAAGCATATAGAATCATTTTTTTCCTCAAAGGTGAAGGCTTAATTTAATCATATGTGATATTTGTATCTCAGCTGGAAAAAATAATCCAGTGCCAAGATAAAGGATACGAATGCATCAGCTCCTGCAAAGGAGTAGTTCATTGTTGCTGAGTAGGTCTGCCTGTAACCATCACCCAGAGAAAACTGCCTCTGTCTGATCAGAAATGCCTGATGGACATTCTCACCGAGTATTTCTTGTGTCTGGTATCTTGTCACTTGCCGGCTGTTCTGGAGGAGAAATAATAAAATTTTCAGTAGACAGGTGTAGAATTTTAGCTGCTGTTTGAGGAAAGCTTCTCAAGATGCTGGTGCAGCAGATGTCAGTGAGATAGCAGCTATCCATCCTTTCTTTTGCTGGCAAATCTTGTAGCAAGGTCATGAATTTGAATGATTATTTTTTTTTCTTAAGGTAGCTGCATAAGGAGTTTAGATTATGACTCTTCAAAGGTATGGATTTATCAGTAAATTGTGCCTGGACTGAATTCTACCTGGAATTCAAGATGTCAGTCTGTGTGGCATTGATTTGTCGTGTGATAACTTCAGTAAGGGAAGGGGAGAGTTCTGTCAATGAAAAAAGTAAGTTTCGAAGAGCAGCAAGATGAATCAATGGTGATAGCAGCAGAAAGCTTAGTAAAAAGGAGAAGAATGCTGGGAAGAAATGACTGCAGGTTTGACATCACAGCTGTGCTTATAGGTTTAGATTGTGTTAAGAAATAGTCTGAATTGCAAATAATCAAGTAAAGATTTTTTTCTTTGTTTTTAATCTCCTATGTCACTTCATAAGGCCCAAATAAAATGGAAGCTTGAGGTAACCTCAGTAAGTGTATATGCATATATCATAAACTTTGACAAAGTCTGTCTTCAGTATTCCTTGGTCCTAGAGTTGAGTAATGAAATGAGAATCACAGCTCATATTAAAGGGAAGAGTTTTTACCCTCTTGAACTGAGAAAATATTGGAAGCAACATGGGCTTATGCTTACCTTTCAGAGATCAAAAGGAAAGAAAAAGTGCATAGAGTTTTGAGTTCTGGCCCAACACCATGATGTTTTAAGGTCTGACTTGTAATTGTTGGTCACTTAGGACTAATGGGAGTGAAATATTAGTGCTGTGTGTGGTTTGGCTGATTCGCAAATCAAGGAAGACACTGCTAGCGATGGCTTTAGGAAAATATTTGAATTTCCCACCTAAATAACCTGCTTGAGAGTTTTCTAATGTAGAAATGTTCACAATTTCTAGGTAAGTATAAGAGAAAAAATAACAAGGGGAAATACATATGCAGGAGGCATAAAAGAATTGAAAAGAATAAATGAATAATAATTGTATCTTGGTTTCGTTCTTCATCAGATACTTTGCCTAGTCTGTTAGGTAGTAAGTGAAGCCCTCTAAAGTAACCAGAAAAGTGCAGATTTCAGGTTTTTTCAGCTGTTTCATTCTGCTTCTGAAGAATAATAGGCAATAAGTATGCTGTGGTGCATAACAGAAGTTAGATATATTTCAAGATTGTGCTCTCAGCCTGAGCAGATATGATGGGAAGATACACAGCAGCCTAACTCAGCTCCTGTGACTGACCTGATTAGTACAAGGTGCAGAAGAGAAACAGCTAATGGCAACCATCTCAGCTAGCCACCCTGCCATGTCTCTCTTTGTTCTCTTTGTTTTCGTAGCTGCTTTCTTGGAAAATATAGAGGGAAGCTATCACATGGAATAATTCTGGCCTTGGCTCTCCATCCCAAGTGTCCTTTTTTGGTTGTGTGTTGTTTTTTTTTTCCTCCCCCACCCCAGAAAGCTGAGCCAAGTACATGTGTGCAGTCTGGCACTCCTTCAGTGACAACACAAGTAAGGAGAAATGAACCAAAGGATGCAAAAATATAATTTAATGGGAAATTTGAAAGAGAAGTCTGAAAAGCTGCGAGAATGAAAATGGTGTGAAAAAGGGTAGGCTGGACTTGTACAATTACACAGTGTAAGGGTAGTTGAGAAAAAATGTCAATCTAGGATAAAGGCTATGATGGTAAGAAGCTGAGAACTGCTAAGGTATGAATCTAGAATAGTTTTTGGAAAGAACTACAGTAATCTGCATAAGCTCTCTTTTTCTGTCTGAAGAAGCTGACTCCCACTGCCAGCTCCTGTTCTCTGTATGGCTGACAGGTTCTACGTGTGGAAGGCACCATGGGCTAGGGCAGCAGTGATGCAGTAATCGGCGTTCAAAGACATTCCCATGTCCTCCTCACTGAGGACTCCACTGCTCTCTGGAAGTGCCAGTATGTGTACAGAAGCTGCCACAGAGAGGACGCTAACTGTGATCTCATTCTCAAGATCAAAGCTGTACTGTAGGATGGTTTTATTTAGAATCTCATTAATCGCCAGTGGATTCCTTGTCTAACAGAGTATACCTTGAGATGCCATCTGTGTGAGGAGAGTCATGCTGCTGACTCAGTCAAAAGCAACTGGATTGGAATAGCTCCAGTGCTGTTACAAAGCAGTGAGTTGGCCAACTGCTAATTTTAAAAATAAGAGACCAAAACAAGCATCTTAATGCACTCTTCTGTCTTCATTGGAACTGTTGGTGATGAGGCTTTTAGTTTTCTTTAGAATGACAGTACACACTTTGCTCTATGCGTTGCATGTAAACCTTGGTCCGGTACAGCATCTAAACATACGCTCATGTTTAACTGTGTGAAAAGTTTAATTGCCTTAGGGATTTTTCTTGTACTCTTAAAAGTCTTTTCTAGTTTGAGGCCTTTACCATGAATTTTCACAAGCACTAAAATCACTCTTGAGATTTTAGTGAAAGCTTTTTTGAATGTCCTGCTTTGCAGGTTTCTTTCCATTTGCCTAAGTGTTGTCTAGAACACTTGGACCTTGAGGTCTAAGAATCCACCTTGAGCATTTTGTTGTCTCAGTAAATTTTAGATGCTCTGGTCTGGAGTGCTGATCCTCCTACCTTTTGGCTTATGTTAAGCCTGCATCAACAGGCAGCTATGGCTGTGGCACTCTGTAGGTCCTGACATTTGTCACTGGTTTTAGGGGTGGGGGGAAGGAAAAGAAAAAAAGAAAAATTGCATTTTGTGAGGTGAGTATGAAGTTAAGGTAATTTCATGTTGTCGTCTACTCATACTGCTTTTGCCACAAAATCAGAGGTGTTTTCATGTAGGTGACTTTAATTTAGTTTCCACTTTAATACAGCAGCAAAGACTCCGTCCGCCTCGGCCACCGCCTCCAAAGATACAGCGTTCGTCTAGGCCCGTGAGTAGTTGGTAGTTTTGTCTCACTGCCACAGCTTAACACTGCCTGAATTACGCTCTTAGTAGCATTACTAAACCTTGGTAGTTTGGATTGTCAAACTTTGCAAAAAAGCAATGTGTGAATTATGCTCCTAAACTCCCTTCTTCTCTGCTGCGGCACAGCCCTGGGACCTGCGTTTGTTCTGCTTTTCTTTGACGAGTTCTGCAGCTTTCAGTCAGTTCTGCAGGTAACTGATGCTGCTCTTGCAACATTTGGTTTTACTTTTGCGGTGATTTCTTAGAGTCTTGCTAGGCCAGCATAAGTTTTTAGCCAGTGAACTTTTGAAGACTTGCACTAACCTCAAATATGAAAGGAAGCAGAAGTCTGAAGAGACTTAAAATTAATTTGGGACACTCAATTTTTCTCCATAAAATAGAGGTGTGAATACACATGAAGAAAGCAAAATCCGTATTAGGGTGGTAGAACATTAGTATCACATTATGGATGATATATGTAGACTCTGTGTAATGTAGTGTAAAAAATGTAGGCACAGCACATTGGCGAGAGGAAGTGACTCTGGAAGAGAAGAACTACGCAGACATTCTCAGCGCAATACCTGCGCTGTGTTAGGCAGGGATACCTTATCTCAGCAGGTTTTCATTCAAAACTAACTGTAGGACAGTTGTCACATACTAAGTACACCAGATAGCTTTAAAGCTGGACACTCTGCTGCATCAGTGTTTCTTTATTTTATTTTTTTGGTAGTACAGGCAAGCAGTATCAGCTTAGAAGGGGTGTTGGGTTTTGCAGCAGCCTTGGAAGATACTTATTTCTGTTTCGGACTGTTGCTTTATGAATACAGTTTCCCCAAAGTCAAATACATCTTACTCCTTGCTTCCATATTACATACATGTATGTGCATAAGAAATAAATGCAAGTTTTCAAATCTAATCTCGCTAAAACTTGTTAAAGATATGTTTTGGATGAGCAGGCAACCAGTTAACAAGTGCACTCGGGTGTGTGTTAACTTTTGATCTTTGGTGCATGTTTCTTATGTTACATTTCAATAGCATGTGTTTCTTTCCCTCCCTCTTTTTAACTCTGGGTGTTTAGCCTAACAGAGTCACTTGTATGGATTCCTGCTCTGAAGATTTCTGTTTTCTGTGTTTAAAAGGTAGCATTGACTATGCTTGTATGTGTTCTCTTAAATGTAATTAATGTGGGAGACACTAGGAATGAACTTTCCATGGTACTATGGGGTTCCCATAGCCCTCTTGTTTTGTGTTTGGCAGGTGTATGAGGGCACACTGTGACTCTTCTGTACAAAAGTTGCTGAACAGTATTGTTCAGATTGAGTAATTTATTTTGCATCAAGTCCTGCTAAGAGTGTTTAATCTCCCAGCTGTAGTGCATTAATAGTCCTCACTATAATGTGTTTGTGTCAACTGTCTTTGCTCCCAATGTGATTGATAAAAGGCTGGAAATGTAATAATAAAAGCTCCTGTTGCATTCATCTAGCTGTGTCAATAAGTGGAACAGAAATGCCTCATTCATCAAGAGGAAATTCAAGATAAATGCAAATGATTATAATCACTCCCAAAAATATGCTTGTACCAAATATACATAAATTTGTTGTTGTTCAGAACTGTTATTTGGCTTTTAATAGTTGAAACACATTTTTTGTGTGTGTAAATAATACTTTATGCGGCTGCTTTTTCCCTCCCTTAGTCTTGGCATGTATTACAGAGGTGGGTATCAGCAAGTAATTTACCCCAGGCTTTTACAGCAAGCACTGAAAGAGGAGACCAGGTCCTGCTCTTCCAACCAAGTCCATGTAATACCAGAATTCCTGAGAAATCCTTACTGGTTTCAGGATATATCTGTTAAGAGGAGGAATCCACGGGCACTAGTCCTTGCAATATGAGTCATTGCTAATGCTAAAAACAAAAACACAGACCAAAGAAAGGTTAAGGAAGCAGAACAGATATGTTCTTTGCATTCTGCTGTTTTGGAAATGTGTTGTAGTGGTATTATGAGAGAGAGAGAGGGTTGTTGCTTATAATTAATAGAGATCTGTTTGGATTAATAGTGGCTGTTTGGAAACTTCATTCAATTAGAAAAAAGTTAAAATATAATAATTATGCATAAAGTTGATGGAGACAGTAATAAGCACATTTAACCCTTCTCTACTGGATGTTTACCTTTATTCTTTTAGCTGTGGGCTCACATAATTGGATTTCCTTCATACTTTTGCATTTGATAAGCATTTAACCCTGCCTATTTGGCTACATAAGGCTCCAGATCCAGCAAGGAATTGGCTTGATTCCTGGCTTTCCCTGTAGTCCCCCATGAACAATGCTCTAAATCCTGCTTAGCATGTCACCCTGCACTTCACTGGTCTGGTGGCCCCTGGAGCCATCCCAAACTCTCATCTCTCTCCCCCTTCACCCTCACTCCCCCGAGGAACCACCCAAAAGGTGAAAGTGTTCACAGCATGATGACAAGTCCGCTTTACACATCATCTTCCAGCTCAGATTTAATTAAACAGGTTTCTTTCTTCCTCTCTTTTTCTCTTTCCCCTTCTCGCTCCCTTCTCCCCCCAGTCCCTCTCGCTCCTCTCCCCCCTCTCCTGCACGCACTGGCTCTCTCTCGGTCTCTCTCTCTGTTTTATCAACCCTAATGAAGCAGTATTCTTCATCGATCCTGCTGATTGCCAGCCCATTCCTTTTGTTTGTTGGCACCGAGCCATTCTGCCGCACTCTGACAGCTCAGCTCGTCTAATTAGCTCTGTTGTTCTTTTCCCCATGTTTCACCACGTTGCAAGTTCAGTTGAAGTTGCCACAAACTTAATCCTTCCATTCCTGCCATAAATTCACATTCTTAAGCCGTCTTTATTGTAGAGAGGAGCAGCCTCGTGTGGGGACTGATCTTCAAGACCTTAACATCTGACCTTTTCATAAGCCCTTTTTCCTAAGAAATAGTGGCAATACATCTCTGGATTTCTTCATCATATCTGCTGTACACCATTTCCTTTGAAATGAAAATTCAGTACAATAATCCTGCTGCTGTCTTCTGCATACTGTTGTGTAGTGCAGAAACATGACACACATTTTGGTGGCTTTTTCCTGGCAAGAAAATTTGAGGTTTATGTGCCTGGGAAAAGGAAAGAAAACCTAAAAGCCCAGAAGCTCCCTATCCCAAATAATAAAAACGCAAAACCAGAAAAAAAAAACAACAAAAAACCCAACAAAAACTTGCTGAGGTGGGAGGAAATCTTCATCTATTCTATCATTGCACACAAATTCATTAGTCATCCTAAGAGTGCTTATGCTGTCGGCCTAAACAGCTTCCTTTATATTGTGGCTATTAAGGGAGCACAAGCACAGGGAGGTCAGGAGTTGTATTCCTAACTTTACTTGAGGGATTTGGGGATTTCTTTTGAAACTAGCGTTTAGCGAAGCCAACAAATCGGACTCCTTTTCAGGTAAGGTAGTACTTGTTTAACAAAAAATGGAAAGCTGCTTTGTACAGCCTGACCCTGATGCTGCAAATGTTCATTCCCACAGTTGGTTCATAGGGGTAGGTTCATCAACAGGATTACTCACTAGCATGGGTAGGCACATCCATAAACTTTGCCTATATAGTAATCATAAGCATTTGTACCTTTTCTTGAAGTAGAACTTGTTTGCTTGTGGAGTTAATGTAAGTAAATTAAGTTTGATTTCTGACCATTAGAAGGTGATGGATATGTTATTTGAGATTGTGTTGGCAGCAACATCATCTTCCACAGAACAGCTCTAGATTTTATTACACATGACAAAAGATAAACTAATGTAACATTAGGGGTGACAATGATAATACATCCGGCAACGGTTTCTGTTCAGCTACTGAAAGGAAGCAGATTTTTAATGAAGAATGAGCTGTGTTTTCCTGTTACGACATTTATTCTAACTACAGATTCTTTCAGTGCTGCCTTACACAGAAGTCTTGACTTGAGAAGTTGGGTTTTATCCTCTTTGAACAAGAGGACAAAAGGATCATGATGTCCAAGCTGAGCTCCAGTTTCCAATGTAATGTACAGCAACACACAGGAGTTTCCAGTTTTACTCTGTCAACAAACTGTATAACAGGAAGCTCACATTTAGGGTATTTTTCATCAGAAATTTTAGCCCACACCAAACAGGACACTGGAACAAATTTGTGTTGCTTTGCTAATAGCTAATGGGCAGTGACAAGCATATATATTTCATTTGCTAGGCAAAAACGTGGGGATTTTTTCTCCTTACACAAGTTGAGTCCCTGTGGTTTATATTCATGCTTTCTATTCATTTGTATATCTACATTAATTTGTAACATTGTCGTGGCACAAAAAAAGACACACTGATTGGAGGATACCTGTAAGATAACAGTGGTTACACGTTTTGTTATTTATGTCTGTTGTTTGATCTGTTTGATGAAATGTCTTCTCTATGTGTGTGTCATAGGTTCGCCCACCAAGACCTCATGTTGTTAAGAGACCTAAGAGTAATATTGCTGTGGAAGGACGAAGGACTTCAGTCTCCAGTCCAGAACAGTAAGTACTGTGCTGCTCTTCTTCTCTCTACTTGTATCAGCAAGCAGTGTGTTCAGAACTATCCAAAGGAGAAATTAAAAAATACTACACATCAAAGGTTTTTGGTTTATGTTTTATTTTTATTAACTAAGGAAAAAATTGGTTTTCAAGTTTTGGAACACTTTAGAGGAAGTGTGAAAAAGCAAGAAACTGAAGTGTACTTCCTGGAATATTCTGGATTGGTAGGTTAGACATCATCTGATCAGCCTTACTCTGGGAAAGTTTTCAGGTTTTGGAGATTTGTTCATTTCTTTATTGTTTTGTTTTGAACTATGCTTTAAATGCAATTGTGAGCCGCCTCCCTGCAAATCCACTGTTCCTGCCAGGCTTTATCTGGAAGATACAGGATTATTTGTTTCAGTGATGGCAGTAAGGGTTGTCACCATTAACAGAAGGTCTGTAATGAACTCTGTAGTGAAGGCTTATAGAACTTAACTGTCTTGCATAGTACTAGCAAATTTACCACCTTCTTATATTTGACTGTCATGTAAACAGGGATAATGTTCTAAGGAAGTCGTACTGGTGTAGCCTACTGCTCATGTACAAAATGTGTTGGTTTCCACCATCTCTCTTGCTCATAGGAACACGATATTCTGTTACCTTGAAGATCTGTTTTTCCAGATAGTTTCATGAATGTCACATATTAAAGTACTTTTTTTCAAATAAGACAGTGCTGTGTATTGCTGCAGATACTCTTAACATGTTGCTATAGTTGAGTTAGCAATAGGCCATCGAGTGAAAGCCTGAAAAGAGAATGGATATATTGAACCTTACCAATATAGCCCAAAAGACGTTATAGTGTGTGATAAATGCATGTGTAGGCTGCATCAGTGCACATATTGGATTTAAAATAATTTGGATTCTTCTGAGTGTAGCTGCTTAACTGCTCAGAGGTACAAAAGAGTCACCAGCACTATGTTCTGGTTGGGAGTGGAATAGCATTTTCCAAATGTCCAGTGTTGTGGCATTGCTTCGACATGGGAATTCACACTGGAACTGCTCAAAGACTAAAAGCAGAAGACTCAGGGGCTGCAAGATGGTGGCACAGGTCTAGTCTGTCACAGAGTTTTCCTTGGAAGTTGTATGCACCTGCAGCGCAAAATAATTGCTTGTATCATAGCCACTTTGCATTATTTATGTCCCATACTGTGGTTGCTTTATTGTCAGTAAAGTGAAATGCTTTAGCTGATAAAGGTTACGGGATATTTGTTGTATTTGAAGATACTAAAATCCCATAAAAAGAAAAATGGTTGGTTTCTTTAGACACACCTTTTCCCCACATGTGTGCCAGTTCCCTGTCACCAGTGTTATAGGGTAGAGGTTGGGAATAAGAGGTAGAAGTTGTCCTCCCAAAGTTAAGTGCGTGGCTTGGGTTTTTTTCCCAGCCACTTTAGCATGGGGAGGTGTTCTTGCTTTTAGCTTAAATGAATGGTCACTGTTCAATTCTACCAGATTATTTATCCATTTTGTAGTGGAATTTGGTTGCCCTCTTGTGGAGCAGACTGCAAAGCCTGCAAAAGGGCTTGTGTGGTTACAGGGTGGTACCTGGCCCTGCACAGTTTATAGCAATTCTTAAAATAAAAGGTTTGTTCTTAATTTCATATGATGACTCATTGCATGTTGGTGAAAGGTAATTGAGTCAATTTAACCATTATATGTGTTTCATGGGAAGAAATATGGATCTTTAGATTGCCATTCCAATGTGGTTTACTGCTAATACGTATTTTCAATTCCTGCCAGTATCAGACCAGCAACAACCATAAACCTGAATTATAAATATAGTATTTATAGTAATGTTAGCAACACATTGAATCAAAATTATTATTTTACTTTGGTTTAATTTATTGTTGTTAAGTTTAGACTCTTTCACAAAGTAAACTAAAAAACAATTGTGAAAATAATTTACAATAATCTACAAAAGATAATGAAGATTCTTGGTAGCTGTAAACTGATTTGTTTTGCTTCACAGGCATTTTACAGATACATTTTTCTATCTTGTAAGTGTGGAAGAAAATGAGGTAATGTGCTCAGACCACTGACACTGGCTATAGGGTAGTACCAGTTGTGGTCTCTTCCTGATCTTTCACAGTTTTCCATATTTTATCCAGTTCAGATGCAGTGTCACAGCAGGATTGGATGTATTTTCATTCTTTGCTGTATCAGCTTCAAATGGCAAAGCAAACTTTGACAGAACTACCTCCAGTCTATTGCACTCTGCTAGATCTCCTGTAAAGTGTTTGCTTAGGGTGTTCTAACAAAACCAAGTTGGGGCAGTAGGGGGACAGGACACACAACACACACTGATGATGAGAATAACACTGAAGTGGTGAGTTTGGAAGTACAGGTGGAGGAAATACCTAACCGTGTACTTAAATAAAGCTCAAATAAATGGCTAAACTAAGAAATAACTTCAGGTGAATGCATTTGGAATAGGTAATGATTGAAATCAAAATGACATTTTGAAAAAATGGGAAGTATATTTTCAAGTAGTAATCAAGGATTTTCATCACAGGTTTCACAAACTTTCTTCTGTCCCAGTAAGAATCTTCCTCTGTTGTTCTGAAATAAAAACATAAAGTCAGGTATTGTCTCTTAAAAGTCCCTTGTTCTCTGTGAATGAAAGCACCCCAGTATTGTGTTTTCACTCATTACTCGGTAGCCTTGGTGTACCCCTGCTGTAGATCAGAGTAGATTCCATGGAATCAGCAGCACTGAGAGGGTTTTTTTCTTAAACGAAACTTTACCAGAACTAATTAATTATTAGCACTGGTTCCAAAACCAAATTATTAGCCAGTTACTTTTTCCAAATACTCGCATATGGGATATGTTTATGAGTAGGAGCTTCCGTTCAATGAGAAGCTTCTTTTTGCACTAACACTGTCATTTTGGTATTGAATGACTACTTGAAGGCATCAGAGACTTTTCTCAGCATATCTAACTCATCAGCCCAGGCTGCCCTTACGCATCCTCCCTCCAGTCTGTGGAGGCAGGATCCTGGGACAGGTACCGCTAACCACGGACACCCTTGTTGCCCAAGGAACACGTTCCACAGGGCAGCCTCTTCACCATTTGTAATGTTGCATGTCACCTCTGAAAAGCAAACCCTTATGTAAGTGGCCTTTCAGTTGTTACATTTGTTAGTACATTTCTTATGGTAAAAGGAAACTTGTATCTTCAGTTACATAAGTTAAACTTTTTTATTTGTATAAAAGAAAACTGTTGGTTTGGGGTATGTGTGCTCATTTCTAATCAGCCTTCAATTAAAACACAGGAGGGTGTGAGCAGTGACTTAAAAGATCTCCCAAGATGATGGCTAATGTCTGTTGTTAAACCACTATAGAAGAGCTGGTGGAAGAACTGTTGTTTCCTTCATCAAATTGTTCAGTAGGGTTTTTTTTTGCTATTTCAATAGGAAGATTATTTTTCTACAGCTTTATTGATAATTCAAGGTTTGTGATGTTTATCATTCGTCAAATTCTGAAATCTAACATAAATGTATAATTTTTTAAAAAAGTCTTTTAGTTATAAAATAAGAGGAAGGATTTGTAGATGAGAGGTCAGACAGTGCTGGATTACCACCTGGGGCAGTCCTAGACACCTGGGACATTGCTCCTTAAATACAAATTAGTTGTTCACAGAAATACGATGTTGCATTTTTAACAGATAGGCAGGTTTTTGAGAGCTCTCTTTTACACCACAGCAAGATTTCCTATTAAATGTAGAATAGGCTTCCAGAGGACTCTAGGATCTGTCTTCTGTAAGTACCAACTAGCTGGCTTCCAGGGCATGCAGAGTGGGAGGAAATTAAAATAGGAAATCAGAGGGTCAGGCTCACAATTAACAGCATGTCAAAAGGCTCTTGGGCTGGCTAAACCCATGTCAGTGCTGCAGCAGTTCATTATGGCTTTCCACAAGTCGGGTAGGACTTAGTAGAGAAGCTAATGGCTTTTCCTTGTATCACCTGAATGAAAATAGGCTGCAGTGCAATAGTGGGTTATTACACTGAATTTAGTATGAAGTCAGCATGATGGCAGGGTTGAATGATACAGGCTTATAAAGTACATTAAATTCCAGTTGTTGTAACCAGGCTCTTGGAGCTCTGACACACAGAATGTGTGTGTATGGTAAAGGTTTTCCATAGCACTGCTGCAAGCAAGATCTCTGCTTAGGAAGAAAGTTGAGCCAGCAAGTGCCCATATGAGCAAGGATGGCTGCAATCAGAAAGAAAATACTGCAGGGTATAGCAGACAGGGCTCACTGTGTGCGCTTTTGTTCCTCTCCCTTGGGAAAGCTGGTGTAGGGGAAGCTAGATACAATGAAGGTGGCACCAGGACAGCAAAGGGACAGCAAACGAGAAAGAAACATTCAGAGAGCCATCAGGTTCTGTTGCAGGCCTTGCCGAGCCCGAACCACGGCACAAGGCAAGCAGGGCTGCCCTGGGGAGCCTCGCTCTGTCCCAGTATGATGGTTTAAAAGAAGCTTTAATTTTGGGGCCTATTTCCACTGTCTGCTTTGGAGTGAACCTCCTAACTGTACGAATGTAACAGCCTGCCTTTGTCAAGGGATGAGATCGCTGCAGGGGAAATGGGTGAATAGATCCTTAGTACCGAGTAATAGGACAAAAACGCGAAATGCCTTTGTAGAACCTCACATCTAGATCTGTCAGAGCAGGCAGAGGTGTCATCCAGCTGGTTCCCACGTTAAATTCTTTGTTAGTATTTCCAACTCTCTAGAACATTTGTAAAAAGTTCATAAAGACTTAGTTACTGCTGTTCCTGGGTACAGGGATCGTGAGCTGGTGCTTTTGCTGTCTGCTTGGATGACTTGTGATACGAATTGTTTTGTCGTTTCTAATTTAAAATATCC